AACATATAAATATTATGTTTGTACCTCGGTTTGTACAGTCATCTTCAGAAAACATGTCGCATATGGACGATGATAGCATTCCTAATAACTCCTGCAATAAGAGCGCTTACACCGTCCAACCGCGACATGATCTCTGAAGACGACTGTACTATGTAATAGGGACAATAGGGTGGCCACTTTTCTAATGGGATTTTATTGGTAATTTCCAAACCATATACTAGTTAGAAGGTCGGTTAGATGGAGAAAAAGTTGCGTATCAGAAAGCATCATCTAGCGGTGAAAACTATAATCGTTATATATCTCAAGAACTGGCACTGATATTTTCAATTCGTTTTCACCGCCGCTGGATGATGATTCTTGATACGCATCATTTTCTTCATGTAACCGACCTTCTTACTAGTACGGTTTGGAAGTTACCAATACAATCCCAATTAACAATGTGGACACACTGTATACCTACATATCAAAAATATATACATATACATATATATATCAACAAAATGATAAGAATAAAACGACAAACATTTTGTTTCACAAAATACTTGAACAGACTAGTATCAAGTTTGATACCTAATTAATTATTCAACTCCTGTTGTAATGACTTGACAGATATAAACTCACCATCATAATCAGTAAAAATTTCATAAAATGATTGTTGCACAAATGTCCATACCATTTCACTCTCTGCAGGATATTTGGCATTGAATGCATAAAAACATTCAAAGCACAAATCGATAGCTTTCAAAGGTGACTCCATTTCCCAGAGAATATCATTCACACTGACGAATGACTTTTCTATGTTGAGAATGCTTTGACCTACTAAAATAGGTATTGGCTGCATGGTAAGTTTGAGCTGACTGTATTTATTCCTTTTATACACCAAATTAGGTTGAATGTCCGCAATACTCTGAAAAAAAAAAGATGGGTAAGTGAATAATTAAATCCTCTACTATACATTCTACTACGGCATCTGATAGCTGTTCAAAAGTATCCACTCCTTTCGCTGTAAATCGTAATATCAATAATTATTTGAATAACTATTTTCGTACACGAAAAAAAAAAGGATTCGTTGAATCAAGCAACATTTAATTGAATAAAGCAGATGTAAGTGTCATATATGCGCGACAAAAAATTAATCTTGAAATGAGTTTAAAAATATATCTTGTTTAGATATTTTGTGACACCTGGTATTTTGTTTTGATTTGATATTATATTGTAAATTCGATCGAACTACATTCTTGTTTTTAACAAGCTGCTTCCATGAAATGATCATGTATGTTTGATTTAAAAAGCATAAATAATATTTCGTTGATGCAACAATTCCTTTTTTTTTTTCTGCAATCGACTCGAAAGTCGTCCATTTTTGTACCAAAATTAGCTCTCAAAGTTGATGTTTCCCTTACTGACATAATAAAATGATTAGTGTCTAGGAGGTAAAGTTGAAGTTTAACTCCTAGGAACTAAAACTGTGTCGTATGACAGCTGATTTGATAGCTGCTGTTACACTGACAAGTGAGTCAATATAGTGGTAACTTCAATTATTATATTTTATGAATTAGATATCAATTATTTCGATTGCAGAAAAAATAGCATGTTTCATTCGGATCAAAAGTGACCTTGTTTGACTCGCAAAATTATTTGCGTGCTCGGCTTCGCGGTTGCTCCGTCTCGCAAACGCAAAATTCGCTTGTCAAAAAAAGTGTCACATATTATCCTAATATATAACAATCTACTATTGTATGTGTACGCGCAACATGCCATGATTATACAAATAGTTTTTTGTGTTCATATTTTTATAATAAGTTATTTGAAGAACGTATTGTGAATTTTACATTTCGGTAGATGAGTTTTATATATGGGTATAATATATGAAGTTGCACACGAGAGAATAGTAAATTTTACCATCCTAGGGGACGGGTCCACATTATGTAATAACGCCTAAACACGATGAGGCATGTTTAAAGTTAATTCTTATAATATGAAATATTGAAAATACTCATTATATCAATTGATAGATATGATTTCATCACTAGATCATTATAAAATGAAATATGCTTACCTGCAAACAGTGGATACAGATGACCAATTCCATTAGATTGAAGGGATTTCTGAAAATCAACTTTCTATCCTTCAGACATGATTCCCATTCGGTAGATATAGCACAACCAAACGTATTCAACAAACAGTGTCTATACGTGTACTGATAACTGAAGGAAATTGGGAAAATACAATATGGAATTTGTATTACGGAGGAGAGAGTTGAAGGAAGCTGCGAGGTTCGAAGGGTTCATTTTCACTGGCAAGCACTGACAATCTGATTTCTGTAGATCATGCACAGCACAACATACTGCGAGAATGAACAACCAACGAATAACTGAAGTTGACTGAAGTCAAACCATAATGGAAAAAATCCATGGAATGTTTTCTTAATCAGATACGCGGGTATATTTTCAAATTAACTGAATAGTTCATGATGTTGTATTAGAAGAGTGAAATTGTTTTGGGTTTCCAGTTATAAGTTACCTTGCAAAACCTTGTATTCAAATCATGTTAACAAATAACGAATTTGATATAGTTGTTCAATTCTAATTGGAATAGTAAACTTCAACATTTTCTAGAATCCTCTTCACCGCGATGATAGTGAATATTTTTCAATACATTTCAATAACTGTTGATAGAAAATTTCATTCTTCTTCTGAATGGATTATACCAGAGTTCGTGAGTTGCATTCACAATGGGGAATAGTGAATAACACAGCTGCGATTTCGTATTAGTAAATTGATAATGATTACTCCGAAACACAGTACTCCTCCCTATGATTCAAATGTGATTTTCATACTGGTATAATTTACTAATGGCTTATTGAAGCTAAGTGTTTTGGCAGTTGGAAAGTCTAGGATTCTCATTACAATGTACTAGAAATATTTCACTACCAAGAATTGTGATTCCTTAAATGAATATTTTTTAGCGTGTACTTTTCAGTAGGTTATGAAATGTTTCAGTAGATCAATATGCAAATAAGGAGATCTACTCAAAATTCAATAGAACTGACAACCCTGCAGCGGACGAAAAGTACTTGCTTCCGGAAATAGTCGGTTTTTCGTTCGGAAATCAGAACGTAAAATACGATTTTTCGTAGAGGTTTATTTTTTCTGAAAATACATTGGATCACTTTGAGTATGGATGATTGCTAGGATTTTCATAGGAATGATGAGGAGGCCAGCGACCCCTACACGAGCAATACGAGCATATTCATGTATGAATCAATTATACTAAAACAAACAGAACACAGATGATGAGTCTTCGTTAGTTAACCACTTTGAGGTTGGCACTCTCCAAGAGATTTTCATTTATTTCAAATTTATGAAATTGAGTACGCGTGCTTGACTTCTTTGAGGTTTTCTTGTTCATTGAACACCTTAAACAACACTTGGATACTCCATGTGATGTGTGCATGAATCCAGACGCTTTCTGAGAATAACTACTATTCCACAGTTGTGAAATTATTAGAGAGTTGAAGTAATCACTGTACGTAGACCTCCACGTCGACGTTAACGTACGAAAAATAACGTTTACGTATTGTCGTTAAATTGAGTTGAAGTCGCCACTTTGGTCGTCACTGTCATCATAACGTAATAATACATTTTGTTTTCGGTTTGTATTGGTCATTTTTGGTTGTGTGTTTAGATTCGAACATTTATTCCTGTCAAAATTAGAAGACTCCTTGATGCAGAACTCGTTGGTGATCTCGAATTTGATAATTTTGACTCATCGGCATATTTCGAGTATAGTTTGGTTAACGTACGTTGATATTTAAGGTATACGTGAAGGAACGTGAGATAACGTACACCCGTAAGCCCACTAACAACGCAAACGTGAAGAATTGAAAAATGCGCATGCGTAGCTGTCAATTTCTACGTTTACGTTAACGTTCATGACAACACTTCAACTCTTTATTAACACTCAAACAAGCGAACCTTGAAACATGCGTTGGTCACTAGAACTTTAGAAGCATCCCTCGTAGATTTTATAAGAAAAAGAAAGTCGCTGTCCCAGACGCCTTGTGAATGTCGTCTGGTCTCTGACTCTATTTCGGTATTGGAACGATTGTTGATTTTTTGGGCTTTTTTTGGGTTAAAAATATCAGTCGTATTTTTTAGTATCCTGTACCTGTATACACTTTCCTGTACGAGATTTCCTCAGCAGTGCGTTTGCTTCATGTGTCAAGCATTTTTACTCTAATGAATTCCCAATGTACAGGGTGGGCCAAATTGGTCACTTTCAAAGGGCAAGTCCTAGTCCCTTGGTTCTCACGATGTTCTCTGAACATTACAGGATATCCCATTTCGTGGGAACCAGAACATTAAAAAAGAAAAAAACTGATGTCGATGCCTGAGGGTCGATTCTCATGCAAAACTCAATGGTGAAAACCGCATATCGATATATCTGTCTTTTTTTCGGAGTTACAATTTTTTTTTTGACAAAAATTGTATGTTCTCTTGAAAATAACTGCAAAGCATTGAGTTTGTGATGAAAATAATTCCAGAGGCACTGAAATTGGCCTTCCTATATCTTGTTCAAGAATATAACTTGTTCTTCTCGAAGGAAAAGTTCTATTTTGAAACTATAAGTATATGGTGACTGATTTCAGTGCCTGAGCATCAATTTCCATGACAAACACAATGTTTTGGAAATGTTTTTATGAAAACGAAGAATTTATGAAAAAAACATGAGTTTCAGTCACTTTTCGTAAATTCATATTCGGCTTCGCTAAACGCTCCGCCTCGCAAATGCAAAATTCGCTTGTCAAACAAAGTGTCACTTTTGATCCTAATAAAACAATCTACTATTATTCTTGATGACCTAGTACATTCTTCTTAGTTGAACTTCAGCAATTCAGAATACAACATTTCATTTGTTGATGAGAACCTGTTGGTTGACACCTTGTGAAAACTACGTGTCTTTGGAAATCATAACCTAATTGTTGTTTTTTTTTCAGGATGGTCACAATCGTTGCAGATGAATTTCTCACAGATGACAGAAATAGGAAGTACTATGCAGATCATTACACCTGTTGCCCCCCGCCATTTTTCATAATAATCATCACACTAGTCGAGGTGAGTACAAATTCTAGTTAGATTTAGTCAACTAAATGAGAGGAAGAAACCGTTACCGTAAACAAGTTACACTCTCACCTATACAAGATTTTTTTTCTACTCACATAACTAAAATGGCATTTAGCGTACGGATATGTACCACGCTAAATGAACGATTAATCACGGATTGAAGATCTGTGATTTATTCAAAATATTGAAAACGTTACCATGGCAACACGATTTCTTAAACACATTACATGGCAACACAGTTCATAAAACATAGCTTCAGTAATTTAAGAACATATCTGGCCTGTCAATTGAATTAACTGTCAACTGTTATTTTCAAATTTTGTATCAGAATTATTCAAACAATTTTCGTTTGTATCAGAATTCTTCATTAAAAATATAGGTAGGTATGCGAAATGTAGACGAAAGTGAAATCGAAGAGAATGTTCTGGTACTTGCATATCTCCAAGAAGTGTAAAAATGAAGCATCCATCTTTGAGAACAATTTATTTTTTCTGCGCTAAGCATGACAACAAACGTGAAACAAAGGTTAGTAAGCATGGACTGGACATATCTACAACCAATATCACTTATACGTGTCTCGCTGGTTGCATGTATTATGTTCTCAATTCCTATTCCTGTCGAATTATTTTGTAGGTTAGCAGGAATAGCAGGTATGTTAATGTAATTTTCGGAGTTCGTAGAAAAAGCAAAGTATGTAACGCGTTTATAAACTCTTCTAGACACTCGTTTATTAAACACTCGTTACTAAAAGGACGTTTATAACACTTGTTACATAATATACTATTAGAGTTGTAGTGACCCAAGCAATTATTAGTCATCTACTGGAAAAATTAGATTTGATCTACAATTCCCAGAGGCATACCCAGCGAGCACATTAGTAATTTGCAGACAATAATATCACCCTGTAGTTTTTTTTTATGGAACAGTGAGCGGCGATCAAAACACACAAATAGCTATATATTGCACTTCATAAAATTTTTTGTAAAATTATAATACTGTGCCCGTCTAAAGTTCGTTCCCCCCTTACTAATTTTTGAACCACCTGGTATATCCCAACAAAATTTGGAGGACTCGAACGGGAGATAAGAACCTACTCTTTGATGAATTATTTTGTAAAATGGAACACCCCGTATATTATTCCATTTTCGAATTCCATAATTCACAACATATTCATATCTAAGACATTCCTAAATTCATTAGTTTTAGAAATATTAACAAAGGAAAAGTGGCATTTTGGTCATTTAAAACCCAACCAAAAACTCGAATGTTGCTTTCAATCAAGTTTGCGTTGGAAAAAATCAAGATGTCACCGCGACAACGATTTTGTTTTCAAAGCAATCTTGATTGAAAGCAACATACGGTTTTCACTTTTCGAACGTTAATATTTCATAAAATATTGAATTTTGGAGTCGAGTGTATTAAATGAATCTGTTGAGATTAATGAGAAGAATTCCAAAATGAAATTATATACAAGGTGTTCCATTTGAAAACCTTGTTTCAAGATGGCGCTCACCCGCCATTTCAAAACCATAAGCTATCGTTTCTTTATGAAAAATCAGGTTTTCATCTCCTATTTGAGCCTTCTAAATTTAGTTGCGATATATCAGGTGATTCAAAAATTAGTAGGGGGAACCGACTTTACATAGGAACTGTATATATAGGCACACACCCAACAAATATTCACATATTTTTTCGTTCAATTCAGATCCGGGAGTTTGCCAACGTTTTCCTGGACACACTGTATATCGAACAGTTGCCGTTATAGCTCTACTAACGTTGATATTACAAGTAATTTATTCCATAACAGTAGATTCGTCTTGGGAAAAATCGATTTCGCATTGTGTGAAACTGTTTGTCGATAAACTATTCAAATTTCCATGGTGCAGTTATAGTCAGTCGTAATGGTGTCAATTCAAAAAAAACATATAATAACAATATAAAGAACGATCGATGTAGGTATTTGTGTTAGAACATGATCCGTTTATTTTTTCAACTCTTCGAGTAAGTTAATTTAGTTTCGATCGATTGAATAAAAATGGTAGACTACAAATAAATAGGGATTCCCTTTCGTGCGCTCCAAGCGAGAAAAAAAAAACTATTTTAAATTGCATCGAAAAACCCATCATTGAAACCGTATCGTTTTGAAAAGTCTTCAAATACCACCCCCCATTTTTTTCCATATTTTGTTCAACAGCATTTTAAGATCAGAATTCTGATCACCCTGTATCTGTTCCAATCAAATGTCAGTAGATAGTAAATCAAAAGTTATGATATGGACATGTGAGCCGTTTTTACCGGTAACGAATAGTAGAAAAATCTCGATTTTGAACATCCTAATCATTCCGGCTAGACCCCAAGTGTGATGTATTGATGACATCAGCTCTTCAGGGAGAATCTAAAAATGCAATAATATACAGGGTGTTCCATTTTAAAAACGAATTGCCTCCATCTTGAAAATATTTTTGCCAAATCGCCCCAAATAACAGTAGTAAGCTATCAAATTTTCAAATCCGCGCTATACTCATAGTTTTCCATAAATGTATTGATCGATGCAGTTTCCGGAGGGACATCCTGTTTATATAATTGTTTGATCCCGAAAACGCCCACTTGGAATTTTTTAATAGAATCGATATTACAAAACTCGTCCGGTATATTGGTCCCACCGTCTTGAATTTCCAAATCCCGCCCTTTCCAAATTTTGATAAAAGAATCATAATCTCCGACCCCGAAAACACCCAGATAACAATTTTGAAGAGAGTCGGATCATAATTACAATACTCGATCGCCATTTTGGATCCGCCATCTTGAATTACTTAATTTTGACGAAGGGATCATAATAACCGATCACGAAAACCCCTAGGTACCAATTTTGAAAAGAATCGGATTATAATTACAAAACTCGCCCGTCATATTGGTTCCGCCATCTTGAATTTCCAAATTCTGCCCGAATTTTGAAATTCTGACGAAAGAATCATATTATCCGACTCCGAAAACCCCCAGATACCAATTTTGAATAGAATCGGACTAAACTCGTCCGATATATTAGATCCGCCATCTCGAATTTCCTAATGGTACCGGGATAAAAAGTACAAACAAACAAACATACAATTAAATCGTTCCTCTTTATAATATTAGTATAGATTATTTTCACATATAAACAATCAATTCATTGCCAGTGACTACTGCTTCGTATAATTCTGCATTTATTTTACAATGAAAAAAGAAACGATAGTTGACATATTATGAATGATAGTACAATATTTTCTATACTGTATGTGATCATTGTTCAAACAAACAAGAGCTGTCGTTGTTTTTCAAGTAGATACAGGACATGCAAAGTTAATTAGGATAAGTGTCGCGAGTGGCATTGTATAAGGCCGATATTAGTTAGGTGTACTTGGTGCATTGTGTCGCAATAATTTAGATACAAACCTATTGTTCTTACGAGGTGAAGCGTCAAAAGAGACATCATCGTTCGCTGTTTTGTTTTTTGCGTTACACGATCTGAGGCTTTTCAATTAAAACAGGAAAATGTTTAATTTGTTTCTAGAGAAACGACTTCTGACATCTAGAAATCGTTTTGGTTCTTGTATACTTATATTGTTTGGAAAACGTAGCGAAAAAATGTTGACATTTTGTGTCGCATTTGTTGATATTGAGCACCTGTTCTTTTTAAAATTTTGGATATTTTTTAGAATATGATGAAATTTTGTATATTTTTCCTTCAGATTACGAAATCGTTGAGAAGAAATACAGTTGAACTTTTCAGAAGAGAAAGTAGTAGTCACCACAACCATATAAAACTATAGACAAGCAGATAATTTTTTTGTCAAAAATTAAATCAAAAAACCCATCAATAGAATGATTCAATACCAAATAACTTGAAGCTGATTAATAGGATTGGAAAATTTAAGAAGGAATTCAAGAAACATCAACTCCTGTAATAATATTGACATTTTGTCTCATTTTTATAGTTTTCTCGTACAATTACTATTCCCATTGGGTACCGAACAGCTGAGTCAATTAAGAATCATTTTCAGTTGAACTAAAAAAAAAAGATGTCTTCTTGAGTGTGAGTCTTATTTTACTGTCTTCTTCATTTCGTCAAATATATTCATATATTCACCATGTTCCCTGCTATAAACTAATGTTGTTTCACTTGTTTCTTGGGAATAATAAAGTTGTTTGATATTTGATATATTCAGCGGTTCAACTCATTAGTTACAGCAATATTTGTATCATTTCGATAAAAAAGAACTGAAAAGAAAATCATTTCACGGTAAAAAACATGTAATACGACGAATCATTCAAGTTTTAACACAATTGTGATTTTGACCTGAAGAAAAAGCTCGAGAAAAAGTACCCCTGTACATACGTAGATCTAGAACTAAAGGTATGCGATTTCGAAATTGGAAATTCGGGTAATTTTTGGACTAATCTGAAGTTACCCAACGAGCAGACAGCATTTCAGTATTTTCGAGCATTTTCAGTCCAGTGAGGTAGTGGTCAGGGTTTTTGTGGTTTATCTGGTATACTATCCAATCCACACATTTCATGGATTCTTAAAATGAATGGACAAAAACAATATTCTGTTACCTAACTGAACGGCATCATGAAATTTATGCAAGTACACACCCGGAATTTTCCATTGTTGTTTCTCTTCATTATACAGGGTGATCCACAGTGGATGGCCTATTGGGATGGGAATTAGGATGCTTTGATAATTGAACATTGTTGTCACTTCTATCAGAAACAACTAGCAACTTTGTTATTTCAAACGGAACACCCTGTATTTTATTGCATTTTCAGATTCTTCCTATCTTAACTTTTGATTCACTATCTACTGGAATTTAATTGGAAAAAATACTGAGTGCTTCAAGATTCAGAATACTGATCACCCTGTATCTGTTCCAATTAAATGTCAGTAGATAGTGAATCGAAAGATAAGATAGGGTAAGACGTTTTGATCGATAATGAACAGTTTCTACACA